CTGCTACCAAATTTATAAAATACTTTAGGGGTTCGCTCATAAATGACGTTACACTCCCAGGGGGATAGGGTGAGGGGTCAGATTTCTGTGACGAAGTGTGACGAGAATAAGGGAGGGTTTCAGAAAGAGAGACATCACACTTTTTCATGTTAAATAGAACTTTTGAAACTGAATTTTAGTAGTATTTGGCATTTTTAAGACAGTTTTTGTAAACTGTATTTAAAACTAATCAATATACATAGCCTTGACACATCTCAATTAATATTTTAGAAAAAAGTCCAATCTAAGCAGAGGCGTAGCGATGGTGGGAGGGGGGGGGGGTGGGTACATAAGTCCCCGGGCGCCGACCTTAGGGGGGCGCTAAAATGGGTTGTAAAAACAAATTAAAATGTTATTTTAGCTGCATTTTTACATTATAAATAGTTTCGAAAGTTTGAAGTGGGGGGGGGGGGGGGGTGGGGGTGTAAATCAAATCGAAAGTATGAGGGGGGGGGGTGCAAATCGAAAGTTTGTCCCCAGGCGCCGGGAAGTGTCGCTACGCCTCTGAATCTAAGAGGGGGTGGTGAGCAGGTGTGACGTCATTACTGGGTCTGACATTTTGTGACGATGGGGTAGGGGGGGGGGTGTGAGTAAAAATCGCCAAAAGCGTGACGTCAATAAATATGTCGCCCCCAAGCTAGAAAACAGACAGTTGAAATATTTGTCAAGCTGAAGTCTAAAAGTAAAATCGACATGGCGGAAGAGCGGAAGTCATTTCTGTCTAATGGGTAGCTTTTACCTCGTTAGACTGACAGGCCACACAAGATATCTTTCTGGTGGGGGGGGGGGGGACTGACAGGCCACACAAGATATCTTTCTGGTGGGGGGGGGGGGGGGACTGACAGGCCACACAAGATATCTTTCTGGTGGGGGGGGGGGGGACTGACAGGCCACACAAGATATCTTTCTGGTGGGGGGGGGGACTGACAGGCCACACAAGATATCTTTCTGGTGGGGGGGGGGGGGATGGTACACGCGGTTCTTGCACATCCCTGCATGCAGAATAAAACTTTCAGTGCCATTAGCGTCTACCACTCAACCCCCAAATGGTAAGTGTCACCCGTAGTGCGTTCATCGGGAGGGGGTGGGGGGGGGGGGGGGGGGGCTGCTGTTTCAAACATTCGTGACAATTCGGGGAAATGGTACGAATTGTAAATGTAATGACACAGTGGCGTAGCGAGGTCGGGTGTCACCTGGTGCGGCACTTAATGGTGTCACCCCCCCCCCAGAGGCGCAGCGACCCTTTCCGGGGACATATTTTCGATTTGCACCCCCCCCCCCCCCCTCAAACTTTCGATTTCCACCCCCCTCAAAGTGTTCTCTATATATTTTGCTATTTTTTGCCTTGGTGTCACCCCCCTAAATGGTTTCACCCGGTGGGGTCCGCACCCCCCGCACCCAACCCCCCCACGCCGCCTCGCTAAGCCTCTGTAATGGCATGTCCATACACCTTCGTCCGGGGGTCGTCCATAAACGATGTGACGCTTTACTGTCGATTAATCCACCCATCCCAAGTCACACTTCGTCACAGAACCCCCCCCCCCCCCCTTGCATGACATCACACTCCAGCCCCTCCCCCTATGTGTTAATTTTCTGTTTTTAAAACATAACTGATCCGTTTTTATACTGGATAATTGTATCTAATCCGAGTCAATGTAAGGTTAATTGGTCTATTTTGTATTACACCTTGTAACTGGTTTAACTCGTTAAATTTAGTATAACATAAAAACATACCGCTTCAACACTTCATCAATTCCCACCCCCTTCCACTTCGCACCTGGAATATGATGTCATTTACGAACGACTTTATCCTAAGACCTTTACTTAGCTTTAACTTGGCGTGCTTGAAGCCAATTTAAAATGGACTGGACAAGCCTTGAGTGAGTCTTAACCCCAGCACTGCTGCTAATCCTAGCTCCAATTTTATTTCATTTTCGGCCTATATTTGTAGCATTACAAGAACGTTCTCCCCCCCCCCCCCCCAATCCTTGCCCAGGTCCCACTAAACGCATGCACAAAACTAGAGCTTTTGTGGAGGAAGAAACCGTTATCATGTCACATTTATAGAGTGACTTTTTTATGACGTCAGGAAACTTTTGTGATGTCACCTATGTTGTGACTTTTTTTGACATCGCGTGAAGATGGAGTTTGACCACAAAAAAAAAATCGAAGACACTTTGTGACGTCACGCATGTTCACGTCATTGTATTGGTCCACAGCTGGGAATATTTCCCCCACGATGACGCCCGGTCCAGATGCTACAGGTGGGGGGAGGATGGGCTGCTGGGCATCACAGACAACCAGTGCCGGCTCTGCCTTGCCCTGTGTGTCTGGAACGAGAAAGATCCCATACTCAAAGAGAGGCTGTTTGGCCTCACCGGGAATGAGGTAAGACGGGTCATCTTGCTAGTATTTAAAAAAAAACAACTGTATGCCTATCTTTGCTTTGGGTAATGGTGCTTTTTTAGAACGGGGTTCAAAACTTTAAAAAAAAACGTATACTGTAGCCTCAGGTTCAGTGTTTCTTTCAGACTTTTTTTTTATCCGGGGCGGGGACGAACACGTATTTCCTATATAGATGTAACGAGCGAACAGTTACCCTGCTCGCAACGCCACATGTTACGAGACTATTTGCCTGTAGTGCCAAATGTAACGAGTTTAACCACTCATGCTACACAACATCGACTACAGTAGAAATACTCGAAGATGCAGGTTCGCTATTGATCCTTTTATTACATGAATCAAGAAATGCTTCAATATAACACAATGAATCAACAGGAATGCTTCACAATAATAGTCTGAATCAACTGACCCCTAACAGTCCTCACTAGGCTTCATATAACTGAATCCACATGTCTATTGTCCTTCTTAACACAATATAACCAACTTGATATGTCACACAGACTGACTGATCTAAAGCGAGCGATGAAGAGAGCGAGCGATCGAAAAGGGAAGAGCTCCGCCGTCCCCTCCTATTTATCCCTTGTATTCGTACTCGTCCTCGTACTTGTATTCCTCCGTAATCGATACTTGTACTCGATGTCTCCGACTACTAGTTGCGCAGTTCTAACGTACAGTCCGTTTAATAAACATCTGCATCCTATCAATCAAAGTTGACAGGCCGTCTGAATCCCCTCGTACCGTTTCCCAAAATAGCACGCGTTGGCTTTGAGATTGTTATCATTCCGATCTAATAAGCCACCTGCTATCAGTTGCATCAGACTGTAATACTGCGTCTCGGCTTATCGTTCGTTATCAGTTGCATCAGATTTGTAACTAGTAGCTAGGCCTACCCTAGTTACATCCACCCCTGCCTTTTTTTGTGTGTTTTCAACCACAAACAACGCTTGGCAGGTGCATTCCTCCAAAGTCAATCGCACAATCGTAAAAACATTTTATTGTTCCACTCACTGTCCACGTCGTCCCATTCGTATACGATTGACAGTTATACCTATTTCACATATCAACTGTGTCTACATCATCTTCCTGAGACACAAAACAGTTCTAGAATTCACATCCACCCTTTTCGTTTGGTGCCTTCACCAGTTCACTTTTATAGCTTTTTGAACCGTCTGTTCTCATACCAGCGCGACCATGAAAGAATTGATGGTTGCTGACAAAAAATTTCGTCTTCCTTCTGTTCCTCAAACTTCTCCGCGGACCACTTATCTGATGGTCTACTGTCTCTCTGCTTCTGGAAGGAACGGGATCCTCTTTGTTGCCGTTATCCTCCACTTGTGTATCGCGGTTGTTCTGTTGATGGTGATATGGTTCCGGGATGGGTATGTGAATTTCCGTTATAGTTTCCGGTTCCCTAATTGTCTTGGATTTCCTTGTGTGTAACTGCTCTTCTTGCCTATTCCAATATTTCTTTAATTGAGCAATATTCGCCCACCGATCCGGTTTGGCGTGATCGATGGGTCTTATCTTAAAGGGGCCACCTGCTACTTTAGGCATCTCCACGACTCGCCATATCTCCTGTCCCCAGAGATCGTGGATTTTGTTTCTGCCTAACGGGTGGCTACGCAGTAATACCCTGTCGTTCAGTTTGAGTGGCGGGTCCTTTGTCTGTACCGGCGGTTCCCTTCGCCGTGCTTCATGTTCTAGTCTTTCCTGTACTACCCTGTACATTTCTCTAATTCTTCTCATATGTTCATTCACATATTCCAGTGCGGTGTATGAGCCAGTCATACTCTCCCTTTTTCCTAGGAACAAATCAAGAGGGAGTCGAGATCCCGTCCGAACAGCAACATGTGTGGCGCAAAGCCGGTTGTGGCATGGGGGGTGCAGTTGTATAGATATACCAACTCTGGGAGAAAATCAGGCCAACGTTTTTTCTGTTCAGGTTCTAGGGTACGCAGCAAATCATGCATGCTACGGTTGAACCGTTCACACTGTCCGTTTCCTTTCGGATTAAATGTGGTTGTTCTAGATTTGTTGATCCCGTAGTGGCTGCACAGTTGGTTAATTACTTCTGACTCGAAAGCCCTTCCTTGGTCAGAGTGTAATTGTCTTGGTATGCCATATTTGATGAACCAATGTTCTATTAAGACCTTTGCCACTGTTTTGGCAGTCTGATCTCGTGTGGGCACCGCCACAGTCCATTTGGTGAATACATCAGTCATTACCAACACATGTTCCGTCCCATCCGATGATTGCTCCAACGACGTAAAGTCCATAGCCACAATCTCTAGTGGTTTTGTCGCTAGTAGGTGTCCTGATGGCTGTCTCATTTTGACAACTGGCATTTTCGCATGCTGACACCTCACACAAGCCTCACAATGGCGTTTGACCTCCATTTCCATATTGGGCCAGTAACACCTCCGTCGTAAAATTTTGTGCGTCCTGTCCTGACCCTGGTGTCCTGCCCTGTCATGTGCCAACCTTAGCACTTCTTCTCGTAATTGTCCAGGCACCACCACCTGGTGTATTGTCCCATCAATTTGGTCATGAATTCTCCGCATGAGAACACCATCCTGTATACTGAGACGGTCCCACTGACTCAGTATTTTCTTTGTTTCTCGACCAAATTGTTCTCTTTCCCTTCTTCCTGGGAATTTTTGTTCCTGGATGTATTTCAATAGCGGTTGTAAGCCACTATCCGTTCTCTGGGCATCTCTTATCTTTTTGTGATTAAGGCAATTAAAATCACTACTGTCCATATGTCCGGGCTCTGTGGATATGTGCTCCACCCCGGTCTGCCCGTTTTGCATCACTTGTACCCCATGAGGGATATCTGTTGACGCTCTGACCTCACATATTCCTGTCAGCGTTTCTTCCTTGATAAAGCGTCCGCATTGCCATTGGACCGCCCCGGGCGATATTTTATCTCCAGGTCAAAGAGTGCCAATTCTGCTGCCCATCTCTGTTCGATGGATCCCAACTTTGCTGTCTTTAGGTGACTCAGGGGGTTATTGTCAGTGTATACCACACATTTAGCACCTAATAGATAGTCCCTGAATTTCTCAGTCACAGCCCATTTTAATGTCAAAAGTTCTAGTTTCATGGCGCTGTAATTTGTCATGTTCTTCTCTGATCCCTTCAGAGCTCGACTGGCATACGCAATAACCCTGAAGCCTTGCTTTTGTTGTTGTGATAGCACAGCTCCCAGACCTTTAGAGCTGGCGTCAATTTCTAACCGAAATGGTTTGTCAAAGTCCGCGTATCCCAATATCGGCGCCTCTGTCAAAGCCTTTTTCAAGAGCTTAAACGAGTTCAGGCATTCATCAGTCCATAATTCACCTATCAGTTGTGTTTTGCCTTTCTTTTTCTCCTTACTGTGTTTCTTTGTCATTTTGTTTACCAAGTCATGCAATGGTGCGGCAATTTTTGCAAAACCAGGTACAAATTTTCTATAATAGGAAGCAAAACCCAAGAATGACCTGACCTCTACCGTAGTTGTTGGTTGTTTCCATTCTTTAACAGCTGCAATTTTATCTGGGTCAGTGGCGATGCCATCCGACGAAATCACATAACCCAAAAAATGTACCGATTTCAGACCAAAGCAGCATTTGTCTGGGTTCAGCTTTACTCCTATCTCCCTAAGACGGAGAAACACTTGTTCTAATCTTTTTAGATGGTCCTCCCAAGTTTTTGAGTAAACTAGAATATCATCCAAGTACACCAACATTATTTGAAATAGAAAGTCACTCATAGCACTCTGCATTACTCGCTGGAATGTAGCAGGTGCATTAGTCAAACCAAACGGCATACGGGTCCACTCGTACAGTCCCAGTGGAGAAATAAATGCAGTTTTATGTTGATCGTTGGGGTGCATGGCCACTTGGTGGTAGCCACTAGCCAAATCCAAGGTAGAAAAAAATCTTGCTCCCCCCAACGCATCAAGACATTCATCAATACGAGGCAAGGGGAATGCATCCCTTCTTGTGATATTGTTCAATTTCCGGTAATCACAACACAGTCTTATCTCCCCTGACTTCTTTTTTACCACTACTATCGGTGCCGCATACGGGCTTGTACTGGTTGTAATAATTCCCTTTTTTAGTAGATCATTCAGGTGTGCTTTCACCGCCGAGTAGTGACTTGGTGGTAATCTTCGGTAGGGTTGCGCCACCGGCTTGTCTTGTAGTAAGGGTATCTGGTGTTTGATTACTTCCGTGTACCCCAAATCACCCTCATACGAGGCAAATATATCACTGTATTTATTCAGCAATTCATTTAGTTTTGGGTCCTCAGTTTCCGGGAATGTATATGATCGGCCATCCTCTTTCTTCACCTCGGCCGTCACATTGACCGACCTAATTGTTACTTCATTACTGCTGGTATTGCTCAGTTCGATGCACTGTGCCGACCTTAGTACCTCGACGTTCTGTGGTACTCCTACCAGAGTATTAGGCGGTATAAAAATTTCCTCATCCAAAACATTAGCTACCAACCCTTGAACTAGTCCGTTTTCCGCTGTTGTGTATGTCCGCAGTAACACGACGCCTGCCCTCAGTGCGGCGCCACATGGTTCTATCATCACATCACCATTCACGCTTCTATCACCAATTTGTAATGTGATTGCCTTGACCGTGTTTGCCGGGACTGCTGTCCTTCCTCTGGTCTTGGCAAACCTGGCCAACTTGGATCCCCGACCTGGTGTGGTCGATCCGACAATATTTGTAAGAAATTCTGGCAACTGGCCAAGAATATTCATGCCCAACAGGCAAGGTATATTTGACACATTTGTCTCTAGGTTGTGTTTCGTAACGAACACCCCAACCTGCTTCAACCTATGTCCCGCCACCACGACATCCGCCAGAAAATAACCACAGTATGGAATGGTTAGTCCATTAGCTGCCGTCAGGCGCATGCACGTGTCAGACCTTAACCTATGGTCTTTTCCTTTCATCCATTTGGTGTAAAAATTTTCCGTAATTGTCGTC